TTTAGCAATTCAATGTTATCTGCTTAAGAAAAGGCTATTAGCTTTGCTCAGGGCATGTGAAAAAATGGATCTCAAGGGAAGTCACCTTTCTGTTTCTAATGAGTTGAAATTTTATTGCCTGTCTTTTATTGCCCTTGTCACTAGTGCCCACATGGCTGTGCAAAGGAGAGGCTTCTGACTGCATAGATATCCTGCTCTAAATGATCTTAACCAACAAAGTGACATCTGAACAAAAACCACATGCTTTTTAAAAAATTCTTTAGCCTGATGTAGAAGCTGGAGAAGCTTTGATGCATTTTGTGTATTTCAGTTGGCCAATAGAGTTATCACTCTTCTGTGGGACCCGGGTTTTGTTGTATTCCAGTGACAAATAGTTGGATTAGACAGTTTGTGATTCGTGTGTCATGCCGCTCAGGCATGTAGACAGCTCATTTGAGATGTTAACAATGTGCCATTTGCTCATTCAGCATATGAATCACGGCAGCATGCTCATTTGCAACAGTAGAGATTACAGTAAAATGACATGCTCAGTTGCTACAAGTGCTTTGAATTGTTGCTGGAAGTGTCAGCAGCATTACTTTGTGTGAATTGTATCACTCTGAGCCAATGAAATAATAATAATAGTTACTGTAATAAGTAGGATTATCAATTGCATTTTAGTCCTGGGCATGCTCTAGGAAGCTTAGAGGGGGATGCGGACGTGTCTCACTTGGTTTTCCACATCGAGCCTGTGGAAGTAATCAAGGTGGAGTGATTTATGTAAACTCACCCTTTGGATTGTCGAAGGCTTTCATGGCTGGAATCACTGGACTGCTGTGAGTTTTCTGGGCTGTATGGCCATGTCCCATAAGCATTTTCTCCTGTCGTTTCGCCCACATCTGTGCCAGGCATTCTCAGAGGTTGAGGGATCTGTTGGAAACTAGGCAAGTGAGGTTTCTATATCTGTGGAATGTCCAGAACTCTTTGCTTGAGGCAGGTGTGAATGTTGCAAATGGCCATCTTGATTAGCATTCAGTGGCCTTGCAACTTCAATGTCTGGATGGTTACTGCCTGGGGAAATCCTTTGTTGGGAGGTGATAGCTGGCTCAGATTGATTCTTGTCTGGAATTCCCTTGCTTTTTGGGTGTTGCTCTCTATTTACTATCCTGATCTCACAATTTTTAAATACTGGTAGCCAGATTTTGTTCATTTTCATGGTTTCCTCCTTTCTGTTGAAATTGTCTACATGCCTATGGATTTCAATGGTTTCTCTGGATAGTCTGACATGGTAGTTGTTGGACAGTTTCAACTTGCAGCAACCTCACCCTTTGGACTTTTAGAGTGGAAATTTGGGCCAAAGACTTTTCTGTTTGTGGGCCAAACTATACAGAACATGGAAAATTTGTGAATGGATCCTCCCTCGCTTTAAATCTATATCTTATGTATCTACCATCTACCTATATTAGAGGAGACTGCTTTCCAAAAATGTGTTGCCTCCAGGAGCTACTGTTTGAAAAAGTTATTTTGGTGAAGTTCTCAATGGCAGAGCACACACTTAATGTGCAAATGGTCCAATGTTCCTAATACAGCAGCTCCAGTTTGTAAGGTCAAGAAACTAGCGTCTAACACATTAAACGGCTATTTCTAGTAAAGCACTGCAAACTTAAGTTTATGCTTGTATTTGACCGGTGAAGAAACTTTCAAGCACACCATCACCGTGGCCGCTTTAAATAAAAATAGAAATGGGACATGCTATTCATTATCTAGCATCTCATCTAGATAAAGGGATATGATTTCATTATCTAGCATTGCAGTTTCTCAAGTCGCTCCTGACACACACACACACAAATCTCATCTAGTTTGGCCTTCAGCTCTCCTGCACCACAGTAGTTCAGGAATTGTTTCAGAAGGAAGTTACTAGATGTAAACCATTACATTGGAGAAAGGTGTAGTGGGAGCAATATCATACATCTCAATGGATATGTGAATAGTAGTTTTGATATTTTATTAGTCGGCACCTCTCATCTCTTAAACATCTCCTTCTGGGATAATTGCCCTGTGATTGTTTCCTCAATAGCCTTTTGTGTGTTGAAATTAGTCTCTAAACATCTGGCCCAAACTTACTAACACAATAGTTGTTAGCACTGCTTTTGTGTAATAAAACATACTGTTGGGAAGCTGAAGTAATGGAATTGTTTCAGGCCAGGAGAGGATGCCAAAAAGACCAAAACAAATTTTCTGTTAAAAATGTCAACCAATGAGGGAGATGGTGCTCTTTCATAATCAGGAGGGATAAACAGCAACATAACTACATTTTGCTCCTTATGGCTTTCTAATTTTGTGATGGAAGTGGTTTTTCTTGGGAAACTTTCCAGAGACAGTACTGAAATGTGCAAGAGAGATGACTGTGGTCTAGCTTTTTGGAACAAACTTTCGAAGCACTAAAATGCTGCCTGTTGACAGAATGTTTTAAATGCATGCTCGAAGATTTGTTATATTAGACTTAGTCCTGAGCTGACTCCGTGCAAAGCACAGTGAGCCCTCCTTATCCATGGATTCTGCATCCACAGAATCCATCATCCACAACTTGAAAATATTCTTCTCCTAAAAAAACCAAAAAAATCTTGATTTTTGCTATTTTATATAAGAGGCACAATTTACTGAGCCTCTTATATTAAATGTGTAGTATTTAATGGAGCTTGAGCATCCATGGGTTTTGGTATCTCTGCTTCTTAAAAATGCTCAGAACATTTTGCATAGGTTTCTAAATACCAAGTTAGAACATTTGTGCATTTGGACTGTGTTGTATATTTTATGATTTTGTTTTAATGTCTCTTCTAATATCTGGATCTTGATCTTGCATTCGTAGTTTTTTGGTGGGTAAATAGGATGAGTCATGTTATAAATATCCCCAAAGCAGTTCTTTATAACTTGCTAGCTGAGTATAATGGGACCTGTATCTTAACTCCCTGAATATCTCAAGAGTGTAATGTTAGTGAATATTGCTCAAAGAACAAGGGAAAGGTAGTCTTCTCCTAGCTCTTCTTTTATCTCAGTCCTGTAATTCACCTTTATCCAAGCAGAAACTTTCTCTTCTCCAATCATTCTTCCTCTCTACTGGACAAAACAAAACACCATAGAGAAAAGGCTTCTGTATTGCAGGGTCCTATTTAAAATTATGAAGCTGTGGCACCTGCAGAAAAATGGCACCCAAAGCAACAAGTCTGGAAGCATTTTTCTGTCATTTATAAAAAGAAAAATAGATGCTGATCAATAACCCGCAGGCAGCAGAATTGCAGATTAAAGAGCCAATGGGAAATTTAAATAGTTGCAGATTTTGAAAGATCTCCATTTAGCTGGCAGGGAGTACTCCAGGTCTTAACTTGGTGCCCAGAAGCACATGCCAAATAAATCTCACTTGTACAGGGTTGGTCTCATCAGAGAGAGAGATAGAGAGAAAGAGAGAGAGGGAGGGAGAGGGGGAAAGGGAGAGGGAGAGAAAGGGAAAGAAGAGGGGGAGAGAAGGAAAGAAATAGAGAGGGAAGGAGAGGGCAAGAGTGGGGAGAGGGAGAGAAGGAAAGAGTGAGAGGGGAAAGATAGGGCAAGAGGGGAGGGAGAGGGAGGGGAAAGAGAGGGAGAGAGAGAAGGAAAGAGAGGGAAAGAGGGCAAGAGGAGGGAGAGAGGGAAAGAGGGAGAGAGAGAGGGAAGGGGGAGAGGGAGAGGGGGAAAGAGAGGGGGAGAGAGGGAAAGAGGGAGGGAGAGGGAGAGGGAAGAGAGGAGAGAGAGGAGGAAGAAAGAGTGTGCGGGGGGAGGAGACATACATACATACACATATATAGGGCTTAGAAACGCTTCAAGCAACTGAAGGTCAGCACCAGCACAAGTTGTTTCTGGATGACAACCATTGTGGTTGAGTTCGGATCAGTGCATTATGTTTTCAGCGACTTCCTCTGCAAAAAAGATGACATAATAAGCTTTAATCTTCCAGCTCATTTTTTTTTACAGTTAGAAGACTGACAGAGGATGCACCAGCACTCTAGAAATACGTTAAATAACAATCGGAAGGGCTACAGTGTACGATTTTTGGATCATGTGATTTTAATACTTATACTAGGATGTTTTCAATGCTTAAATGTGTATTTCTTGTGTTAATGGTTTTAATGATTTTAATTTATAGTTACATGTTAGTGTTTAGTTATTACAATTTTTTTATTTCTACATTGAATTGTCATTGAATTTTTGCCACTAATATGTTGTAAACTGCCTTGAATGCCCCCCCCCCACCCCACCCCACCCCAGGTGAGAAGGGCAGTATATAAATATAGTAAGTAAGTAAGTAAGTAAGTAAGTAAGTAAATAGAATGAATGCAGTTTGAGATCACTTTGACTGCTGTGGCTCAATGCTATGGAATATGGAAGTCATAGTTTTTACAAAGCTTTAGCCTTCTCTGCCAAAGAGTGCTGGCGTTTCACCAGACTACAACCATAGCATGGAACCATGACAGTCAAAAATGGTGTTGAGAGATTCTGGGAATTAAAGTCTTAACATGTGGTTCAGTCATAGATTTACAAAATTCCCAACTACTTCAGGATGTAATGAGAGAGGCAAATTGTGCTTTCTCTGTCCAAAAACTTGTTATGATCAAGACTTCAGCAGTGGTTAGATGCTGGTCTGGAACTGTTATGGGATGACTACCAAGTCAGAAGAGTCCAAAGGGACAATTCCCCAAAGTGTTGAAATTAAACCCTTATACTAATCCTGAATCAAGGCAGCTCAAGGACCTCCCCAAAGTGAAGTTCTCTTGTCAATAAACCTTGAAGGCCTTTTCCCTAAAGAATATACAAATATCTCTCCTAATGTCTCTTATTTTGATTTTGAATGGATTAATACATTCACAGCTGTGGTTCATCTATGCTGAAATAATCAGATAATGATGTGGTTCCATTTAAGGATGTGGGTTCCTTTTGTAAGAGTAAAAAGTGCATTGCTGTTGCACTGAGTAGTGCTTCTCTCCCAACAGGTTACAAAGAGCCCATACAACGCCTGAACGATGTCATAGCCCAGCTGGACGCTGTGGTCAGCTTTGCTCAAGCCTCCAATGCGGCACCAACGCCATACGTGCGCCCCACCATTCTGGAAAAGGGGAAAGGGAGCATTGTGCTGAAAGCTGCGAGACACCCCTGCATTGAGGTCCAAGATGACGTTGCCTTCATACCCAATGATGTGACCTTTGAGAAGGGCAAGCAGATGTTCCATATCATTACAGGTAAGGAATTCATTTATATGCTGCATTTATTCTCAGAAAAGTTGGGGGATTTTTTGGTGTTGCTTTCAAAATACATTAGAGTTTCGCTTATCCAACATAAACGGGTTGGCAGAATGTTAGATAAAGGAAAATGTCAGATAATACGAAGTCTCCTACAGTCCCCATCCCTCCCCAGTTCCCTTGTCTTTGGTGCTACTTTTCAATTGTTTTGTGAGGCCCCCGGAAAGGAGTTGGCCAGGCCCAGGTGCTTTGCGAGGCCTCTGGGGGCAGTCAGGTCTGGGTGTTTTGTGAGGCCTCCAGAAAGGAGGCAGGCAGGCAGGCCCCGTGGAGCAGCAGGCCCTGATGCTTTGGAAAAGGCTCCAGACAGGTAAAAGGAAGCAGCAGGCCCCAGAAGTAGGCTGCAAGGCCTGAGAAAAAAGTAAGTCTCTGGAAAAGATGAGCCGCAAGGCGCAGGTGAGGGGGGAGGTAGCAGGCTTGGCCGATGCCTCCTACTGTTTTCTCCTCCTCGTTGCTTCCTGCTCCGCTCACACTGGAAGATGCGCTCTGCCTTCGCAGAGGGAAGTAGGGAGGACACTTCCGGTTCTGGTTCTGCGTCCTCCCTCCTTCAGATAAGAGCGTCTGGTAAGGCAGAACGTTGAATCAATGAAGGTCGGATAAGTGAGACTCTACTGTAACAACAACAACAGCAACAATTGCAATGATGTTTCCTAGCCTTAAAATGAAAAGAAAAAAATTCCAATCACTATATAGACAGGTAAGCAATTTGGGGAAGGTGTTGAGGGAGAGGCATTTCCAAACAATCTGAATGTTTCCTATTGCAGTTTTAAAGAGTGCTTGTTGCACAATTGCACCAAGAAAAGAAGTAGTAGGTATGAGTTTCATGATACCCAGAGGAAGCAATAAACAAGGTAGCGGTAGTTGTGTGGGTGGTATCGATGTTTACTGTGCAAGAAGTCTGCAGCATCCTTCCTCTTCAGTTTGTTCTTCTGTGCTACTTATTTACTTGTTTTGTACCTTTTCCTCATCTCCTCTTCCAGGAAGCCCCAGATAGAAATGATTTTCTGCTTCCTCTCACCCTACTATTGTCAGTCCCTTGTGCTTTTTTCTGAACATCCTTAAATCTTTTTTCTACAGCTTCATTGATCTGCTCAGGCAGATCTCCAGGTGACAAACCTGGACATGACATCATCTTTTTGGTCCCCAATGAAAACCCCCTACCTCAAGAGCCTTCCCTATTCTTCTTCTCTGATTTCATTGTACTTTTACTTTATAACTTGTTTCTGGAGGTACCAAATCTCACATGAATCATCATCAGAGTTTTTATGTTCTTGCCCTCCCCAATCTGCCTCCATGACTCACCTTCAGTTGGTAGATGCTAGTCATACTGTTTGTTAAATTTGGATGGCACAAAACGATATACTCCCCTCCAGTACAGAAATATCAGTGAAACGAAAGGAAAGTGAGAACAGTAACAGTTTGATGTAATGTCGAAGGCTTTCATGGAGGGAATCACTGGGTTGTTGTATGTTTTTTCGGGCTGTATGGCCAAATGCCTCTAGACCATGGCCATACAGCCCGAAAAAACCTACAACAACCCAGTAACAGTTTGGTTGCCTGATTTTTGGTGCTCAGCTGCAGTCCCTGGCAGGTGTGGATGCTTTGCTCCTGCACACCACACACACTCTTTTTCCAAGGAGTGTGTGTGTGTGTGGCTTGCAGGCCCAAGGCACCCGACCTGCAGCCAAGTGCCTCTTACTCGCCGCTCACCATTGAGCTGCAGGCCCTAGCAGCCGCGAACACTTTGGATTTGCAAGCCACACATGCACTCTCCTTGGAAAGTGTGTGGGTGTGGGTGGCGTGCTGGCCCAGAAAGTACCCACGCCTGCCAGTGCCTTTCTGGGCCTGCACAGTTGCGTAGCAGGGCCACCAGCAAATGTGATGAAGGGCAATCCTAAGCCACCTGCAAATGTGGCGCGTTCCAGCCCTGCCCAAGGATCCCACCGTGGATCCGCCTCTAGCTCTGATAAAAAGACCTCACCAGTGGTGCAAAGGAGGTTTCCCAATTGAAGGAGGAAACGGCAGGGAGAAATGGCAGTGAAGCTGGTTAGTTTCACCCCTCTAGCCCTAAACTGAGGGGAAGGGTGAGCGTGGGAAGCCTGCCCATTACCGCCAATGGGATGAAAATATTGGCTTTTTTGGACCTGAGACAAAAAAGCTCATTCGGAAAGGCACCGGTTTCTGGGAGATGTGCTCAAAAATGAAACGGGGCCTTATGAATGAAACAAACAGCAATTCTATATAAATGCACAAGGCAAGTAGATACAGGGATCACGGGAATGATGTATATAATCAATCTCATTTCAAATTGACAACTTCCCCACTGCTTCAGTATTTCCTGACTTCCAAAGTAATAACCTCGATTGTGAAATTGCCTTGTCATCGTGGGTTTGGTGAGCTTAGCTTGTTTGTCCACCTCACATATCTTTTGTTGGTTAGAGCTTCTGAAATATTTTTGGACTGCAACTTCCAGAATTTTTAGGAGTTGTCATCAAAAAGCATAGCAACTCCAAGCTCTAGCTTGGTGGGGGTGGGGTTGTTCTTCTCATTTAGGTTCCTCATAAGAAACCTTTTGTCATTGGATTATGCATTTTATTTTTTAAAGCTGTTTTTCTCTGGCTGTTTTTTAAATAAACATACTAATTTGTGGCTCTTTTGCATAGCCTGAGGATAGTTTTACTCAAATGTTTGACAAGACTTTTAGCCTGGTATAATGAAATTTAAATGAGGTCTGTCCTCCATTTATTAACAAAGTGATAGATGCCAATTTTTCTCTGAAATATGGTTTTATGGAAACGAAGGAACAAGCTCCAGTTTGTCACATTGCCTCTGTTTCTTTCCCCCAAATGGGTACATTAGTGAAGCATTTTCTAGCGTTGACAGGCAATTTGACAAATAGAAGTAACTATTGCTTCTGGATATTGCCTTTCTTTCTGGTTTACAGGTGCCAAAAATTGATTATACCTGGTTTTCAGATATTAATATAATTTGGGATTTAGAAGTACATTTAGTGACATGCTAAAGCCAACAATAATTACAAAATATTTCTACTAGATAGCTCTTCCATGACAGTGAAATGCTAAATGAAAAGGAGGCTACAAAAAATAACAATGCTGTGGATCTTAGGTTCCTGAAAATACCATTGCCTCCTTGTTTAAGAAAACCAGCATGGCTCCTTTTAATTCTTGGTTATGCTTACTCTACAGGTCCAAACATGGGAGGGAAGTCAACCTACATCCGACAAGCTGGTGTTATTGTTCTTATGGCCCAAATTGGATGTTTTGTGCCATGCGATTCTGCAGATATAACAATTGTCGATTGCATTCTTGCTCGGGTAGGAGCCGGAGATAGTCAGCTGAAAGGAGTTTCTACCTTTATGGCAGAAATGTTGGAGACATCTTCCATCCTTCGGTAAGAGTTAGATTGCTTTTTGCTTGGGAAGGATATATCTCTGTATCTGTGTAAGCTTAATTTGGAGGCTTCTGATCTGTTTGGTGTTTAGGACACACAAACTTTATCCCTTTGTCATTAGGCTGGGTATTATTTTAATTTGTCAATTAATATATTTTTAATCTAGTTTTTTATTTAATCTGTCAGTTAGTATAGTTGAGTATATCCAATGAGTCTCCTAACCTAGATTTGAAAAGAACCCTGTCTAATTTTGTGATGGCTCAAATTTACTTCTAGATTGATAAGCATAGGATTATCCCAGTCCTGTCTTAATCAAAGCATGCAAAACCTGTTCAAAATATTCCTTCAGATGCATATCTTAACGTTCTCATGTTCTCCTCACTTTCTCAACAGTAGCCAACGTTCTTTGACTACTGAGAATTGTCTGTCCTTGTTGGTTGAGGCAAGGTTGCCCTTAATTTAGTTTTATACCACAAAATAGGTTTCTACTTCTGCACATTTGGGATTCCAGCATGCTTTGTGCATAGGTGTTGCTAATTTGGCTGCCTAAGTGTCTATGCCAAGACCATGCATTGAAAATCATCACATGAGAGCATCGGGTCTGTGGCACAGCTGGCTTGGGAGTAAGCTGCATTAAGATCATTACTGACCAAAAGGCCATGAGTTCGAAGCCTGCCCAGGTTGGAGTGAGCTTCCGACCAATTTGTGTAGCTTGCTGTTGACCTTTGCAGCCTGAAAGACAGTTGCATCTGTCAGATAGAAAATTTAGGTACCGCTTATGTGGGGAGGCTAATTTATGATGCCATAAAAATCTCCAGCAGGCATGCAAAGAATGAGGAAGTACTTCATTAGTGTCACAAATGGACGGTGAAGCAACAGCTCCCCTGGTCAGCAGAATACCCTCATGAAAAAGCTGGAATGTTAAATAGCCTCTGTGTGTCTGTTTGTATATGTTGTGTGTCTATGGCATTGAATGTTTGCCATGTATATGTACATTGTAATCCACCCTGAGTCCCCTGTAAGGTGAGAAGGGTGGAATATAAATACTGCAAATAAATAAATAAATAAGAGGATAATTATAATCTGCAGTTGATCTGTAGGGAGCTTTTCAATGAAAGGTGTAAGTATGAAACAGTAAAAGTGTATTCTTAAATTGTATGCCTGATGTTTCAGAAGTTTGTAACAGAGGGCATACTATGGTACATACTCTTGAAGCTCTCCTAATTTAAACTGAGACCAGATCTAATAATATGTTATTTCTTGTAGAACTGCAACAGAAAATTCCCTGATTATCATCGATGAGTTGGGGAGAGGAACATCTACATATGATGGGTTCGGATTGGCTTGGGCAATCTCAGAATATATTGCCACCAAAATTGGAGCCTTTTGCATGTTTGCCACTCATTTCCATGAACTGACGGCACTTGCTGAAGAAATTCCGACTGTGAATAACTTACATGTCACAGCACTAACCACAGACGACACCCTCACAATGTTGTACCGTGTGAAAAAAGGTAAGATGCAGCACAGAATGAGGATGGAGAAAACCTGTTCAGTGTATTGTACTGTATAACAAACTTATTGTTCTGACAAAAAGTCCATGTCTGGTTGCCTCAGAGACAGCTTTGTATATATATTTCAGAACTGATAGTTTTTATGCATCTTATTTTCACTAAGGTTTCGTTGCTTTTTCCTATAATGTCAGAAAACACAAGACAAAAAGTTCCCTAAAGGTGATAATATTCCCCAAGGAATATTTGCCTCTGAAGTGAGCTCATTGTTCTGCCTATTAACGTCTACATTTGAGAGTTGTACCCCAAGAAGAGCAGTAGACTCGATACCACCAGATTCTGGAGGCGATACTTCCATAATTTCCCGTTGCCATTTTCCATGCAATGGCCAGATAAAACTTTATAGATCAAAACACATAAGATGCATTGATTTTAATCTTGTATTCTACTCATATCATGCAATTGTAATTTTTGTGTAAATCGTCCTGAGTCCCTTCGGGGAGAGAGCAGTCTAGAAATAAAGTTGTTATTATTATTATTATTATTATTATTATTATTATTATTATTATTATTTTACTGACACAAAAGCACAGTCTGTCACAGTAAACGAGATCTATATGCTGGATTTCGTATCACAAAATCACAAGTCGAACACTTCCCAAGTGTCTAGGACTGTGTGATGTATTATTATTATTATTATTATTATTATTATTATTATTATTATTATTTGATACACAACAAAATTAATACACAGCAAACAAGATCACTATACTGCCTTTTGTGTTCAGTCACACATCAGACACTTCCCAAGTATCTAGGACTGTGTGATATATTGGCAAAGAAAGAGTGCAAATCTGAGCAGGGTGGCCTTTTGCAGCTGACAGATGGTAATTTTGTCAGTGCCGATTGTTTTTAAGTGCAAGCCAAGGTCTTTAGGCACTGCACCCAGTGTGCCGATCATCACTGGGACCACCTTTACTGGCTTGTGCCAGTCTTTATTATAATTATAATATAATTATATTATTAGTATTAATATAATTATATAATTATATAATTATAATATTATATTATTGTTGTACTTTTGCCTCTGATCTTGTATGAAATGTTGTTCCAGGGTAGTTATTTTATCTTTTCTCTTCTTTTTCATTTTAATTGTATTTTACTGTCATTGAGCAATACAATTGAATAGCCAAATTACAGCTATTCAAAAACTAGAAGCTGCAGTTTGAAACATACATAAGGACCGTGCATGTCCTGTATTGTCACACTCCTTTTCCTCTTACTATCCTTTGAATCCCTTCCAATTTTCCTTTTTATCACTGTCCATTTGTTAATTTTTGCTGGCTTGGCTATGTTTCTGTTAATATAATGGAAGGGCGTTTTAATATTTTGCACTGTTTCCACATTTTCATGAGTGATACTCAGAGTGGGCAGAGTTTCAATATTATTCTACCTGTAATTACTCAAATTATGTTTGGCTCCTTGAAACTGTTTAGCCGTGGTAGTGTCACAGAAGCATAGAGCTGGAAGGGGGCTCATGGACCACCAAGTCCAACCCTTTGCTCAGTGTGGGATTTCCAGTTAGAGCAGGCAAGGGCAACCTTTGGCTCTCCGGTGTTTTGGACTTCAACTCTCACTCGGCCTTCTCACACTCGGCCTTCTCATAGACTAAGGCCTACCTCACACTGTGAGGCTTTCTCACAGACTGAGACCTTTCTCCCACTGAGGTTTACCTCAGACTGACGTTTACACACCTGCTTATACAGAACTGCAGCTTTGCTGAGTCATTACATCCATTTAACCCGTACTGTAAACAAAATACTTAGATAATTTTTAATATTTCTGACAGTAGTGTCACAGAAGCATAGAGCTGGAAGGGGGCTCATGGACCACCAAGTCCAACCCTTTGCTCAGTGTGGGATTTCCAGTTAGAGCAGGCAAGGGCAGCCTTTGGCTCTCCGGTGTTTTGGACTTCAACTCTCACTCGGCCTTCTCACACTCGGCCTTCTCATAGACTAAGGCCTACCTCACACTGTGAGACCTTCTCACAGACTGAGACCTTTCTCCCACTGAGGTTTACCTCAGTCTGATGGCTACACACTTGGTTATATAGAACTGCAGCTTTTGCTGAGTCATTGCATCCATTTAACTCTTCCAGTGCTTGACTCACATTTTTGTAATTAAAAATACCTAGGTAATTTTTAATACTTCTGACAGTAGTGTCACAGAAGCATAGAGCTGGAAGGGGGCTCATGGACCACCACGTCCAACCCTTTGCTCAGTGTGGGATTTCCAGTTAGAGCAGACAAGGGCAAACTTTGGCCCTCCAGGTGTTTTGGACTTCAACTCCCGCAATTCCTAACAGCCTATTGGCTGTTAGGAATTGTGGGAGTTGGAATTCCAAAACACCTGGAGGGCTGAGGTTTGTCCATAAGGTAGCTGCTCAGCTTCTTTCTGAAGACATTCAGTGAGGGAGATCCCATTACTTCTCTGTGCAGTTACTTCCACTGCTGAACCACTCTCAATGTCAAGAAGCTCCTTCTAATGTTTACTTTGAAATCTGTATCCTCTAGTTTCCAATCTGCAGAATTAAATAGTATAAATGACAACAACTGAGTACAAACACATACATTTAAAGTCCACCAAGGCAACAAAAAATCAAATTAGCATTGGCAGCTGGATTTAACAGGCATAATTTGTGACCACCACTTGGTCTCCCTCCTTACAAAATGTTCAAGATCTTATAACCATTTAGATTAGAAGAATACTGCCACCCAACCATACACAAATAAAGCAAACAAACTGTATGTCTTTCCTATCATAAATATCAGAACTGGACACATGTTGTTATGTTTCTTCTGTTGTAACCTGTGCTGCTTCTTCCAGGGGTTTGCGATCAGAGCTTTGGCATCCATGTAGCAGAGCTAACTGCTTTTCCCAAGCATGTAATAGAGAACGCCAAGGCAAAGGCTCTGGAGTTAGAGGAATTCCAGTGTATTGGAAAACCTGAGGAAAAAGAGGTAGATGGTGATGAGGAGCCAGCAGCCAAGAAATTCTGCAGAGAGAAAGAGGTTTGTGGCAATCTGTTTATTCATTAATGCATTGAAAACAAATGTTTCCTTAAGAAGACAGTATTAAAACTTGATTCACACAAAAACCCTAAAAGTTGCTTCTTCATCTATGGACACAGACCACCTAAAATCACATTGCAATCAGAACCAAAGCACAATCCCTCTCTCCATTCAGCAGAAACACCTAGTCATGCAAAAAAGGGAAGGATATCTTGGAAGATGCCACTGTTGCTGTACCTGTTCTTTATGTGTAGGACATATCCACTCATCTCTTACTATACTTGCCTAACTTTCCTCTTTCGGTGTCTCACTGGACTTTTTGGAAACGTCAACCACACCTCTTTCATTCATCTCTCATCCACAGTCCCTCAGGTGAGCGACACAGGCACAAACTTGTACTTTTCTCTGTTCGGCTCAGTCTAATATTCTGGAAATAAATCCCTTTTCAGACCGGAACCACGCTCTCTAGGGCCAAAAGGGTAAAGATGGAGGTCTTTTGTTTGCACCCTTAACTTCAGGGAAGCCACAGTTACTTCTGCTTTCTCGTCTTGAAGCTCCTCTTGTGAAGAATGAAGTATTTGTTCACTTACTATACTTAATATTATAATTGTAATTGTTGTTGTTGTTCATTCGTTCAGTCGTCTCCGACTCTTCGTGACCTCATGGACCAGCCCACGCCAGAGCTCCCTGTCGGCCGTTACCACCCCCAGCTCCCTCAAGGTCAGTCCAGCCACCTCAAGGATGCCATCCATCCATCCTGCCCTTGGTCGGCCCCTCTTCCCCTTGCCTTCCACTTTCCCCAGCACAATTGTCTTCTCTAGGCTTTCCTGTCTCCTCATGATGTGGCCAAAGTACTTCAACTTTGTCTCTAGTATCCTTCCCTCCAGTGAGCAGTCGGGCTTTATTTCCTGGAGGATGGACTGGTTGGATCTTCTCGCAGTCCAAGGCACTCTCAGCACTTTCCTCCAACACCACAGTTCAAAAGCATCGATCTTCCTTGGCTCAGCCTTCCCTAAGGTACAGCTCTCACATCCGTAGGTGACTACAGGGAATACCATGGCTTTGACTAGGCGGATCTTTGTTGTCAGTCTGATGTCTCTACTCTTCACTATTTTCACTATTTTATCTTCACTATTTTATTTATTTTATAATTACAATTATTTTATTTTTATATCCCGCCACCATCTCCCCGAAGGGACTTGGGGCGGCTTACAAGCGGTGCCAAGCCCAATAACAACAAAGTTAAACAAGTAAAAGCACAATAAAAACACAATAAACATGTGACAATCTAATTATACAATTAAAACAGTAAATATAAAAACATCATTAGAATAAATCAAAGCCAAACACAATAACCAGAACCAGGACTATGGTGGGCAGATCAAAAGTAGAGAGGGCTATGTGCTTTCTTCCATATCTGGGGATTGTCAGATACTCATCCGTTAATGCAGTGGTCAGGTACAAATGTGCTTAGCTTCAGCAAGGTAGATGTATCACAGGCATGGGCCTACTGACTGTTAGGAATTGTGGGAGTTGAAGTCCAAAATACCTGGAGGAGGGCCGAAGTTTGCCCATACCTGCTGCATCATGTGCTTTCAGACCACTGTTTGAGAGAGAAGCTCTATTCAGATGTAGTGTTCATAAACATAAGAAGCATAGAGTCATTTGTACTGTTCTTGTATTGAACAGGGAGGACCGCAGGATCTTCTGATTTAGCACCATGCTGAATTCATACAAAGACACTAGGAATACAGTTCGCTCCCTCCACGGTCATGCATCCTGTGACTGAATAGGAATTAAATGCACTAAATGATCTATCAGTCCTCTTTCCTCAGACTTTCTACTTCCCTGACCATCTCCTATCAATTGAACTTCAACAGAAAGTCTGCTTTTCAGACTTTCTGTTTGGAGAGCTAGAGTGTAAAATTACCTGGTGGCGCAATGGGTTAAACCCTTGTGCTGGCAGGACTGTTGACTGAAAGTTCAGCGGTTCAAATCCAGGGAGTGGGGTGAGGTCCTGCCTGTCAGCTCCAGCTTCCCATGCAGGGACATGAGAAAAACCTCCCACAGGGTGGTAAAACTTCCAGGCGTCCCCAGTGCAAAGTTGTTGCAGATGGCCAATTCTCTCACACTTGAAGCAACTTGCCATTTCTCAAATCGCTCCTGACACTGCGGGGGACGGGACTGCGAAGTTTTTGTAGTTCAGAATTGAGGATGCTAATTTTTAGTCGAAAGGCTCTTTAAATGCTTGGAGTAGGGCTCAGCAATAGAGTGGAGGCAAGACATGTTTTGGAGGGTAGAGATTAAAAACTTTCAAGATGTGAAGGCGTGAGAGGAGGGAACCTTTGCTTTTTCACCCTGTTTCTTTGGGAGGAAATGGGAATGATGAGACAATTGTAAATAAAAATGCAATATTTGTACCCTTTATAGCTTGAAAGTTACTTGCTCTTTTCAGAACATAAAATGTGTACTTGTCTTGGCATAAAAGTATCATGTTTGATATATTAAAAGTACAGTTTACTCAGGAACTCATTACAAATACAATTGACTTGCTAAAATATCGCTTTTGCTAATGGAGCTACAAGGTCCTGCTGTAAGGAAAACCTGAACTATAAAGAACCTCTTCGCTTGTGCCAGTTTATGAGAAGCAGTAAAACGCAGCAACATTAAAAACAGAAGAAGCCATCAGTGTTAATAAAACAAACAAAAGTATTTTGTCTCCTTAAATCTTCCGTAGTGTTAAGAAGACATAAAATACTCATTCCAATAAAAAGATCTGAGAAAAGGAAAACAAGACCTGAAATCATAATGATGTCATTGATACTAAATGTAGTCTTACCTAAATGTCTGTCTACCACATATTTTTTAGAAGTAAAGTGAGGAAAATACATATTAAAGTGCATCAAGGGCCAGGCTTTAGCACAGCTGATAAAACACCAGCAGCAATAGATCTTACCAGTTCGAAGCCCGGGTCGGATTGAGCGCCTGATCTTCCGTCCACCTTAGTGTCCATCTAAGCCAGGGGTCCTCAAACTAAGGCCCGAGGGCCGGATACGGCCCTCCATGGTCATTTACCCGGCTCTTGCTCAGGGTCAACTTTATTTATTTATTTATTTATTTATTTATTTATTTATTATTCAAGCTTATATGCCGCCACTCCCCTAGGGCTCGGAGCGGCTTACAAAACAAACTGGAATCTAACACAAATTAAAACAACAGATCAAAGGTCAAAAACCTGTTGAAACAAAGGTCAAAAGCCTATTGAAACTTAAGTCCGAAATTACTTGAAAACATACAACAATAACAACAACAACAACAATCTTATCTCATCAGCCAAAGGCAGGCCCACACGTCCCACTGAAATACTAATAAGTTTATATTTGTTAAAACCGCTTCATTTTAATTGTTGTATTGTTTTAAAGTGTTTTTGGCACTACAAATAACATGCGTGCAGTGTGCAAAGCAATTCCTTCATTTTTTTTCAAATTATAATCCGGCCCTCCAATAGTTTGAAGGACTGTGACCTGGCCCTCTGTTTAAAACGTTTGAGGACCCCTGATCTAAGCAGTTCAAAAACAGCTGTGAGCTGTGAGTAGACAAATTAGGCACCGCTTAAGGGGGGAAGTATTTTACGGCACCATAAAGGAAATACCAGAAAAATGCGATCAAAGGAAGGAGGAAGTCTGTGATCAAGGCTCTTTGTCATAGAGGATGGAGCGACAGCACCCCCCGGTGGCGGGAATCGAGTACAACCTCCAGGATGCTGAAGTTGGGAAAAATGCCGCTGTCCTCTCTGTTTAACGGCATTGAATGTTTGCCGTGTATGTGTTCTGCGATCCTCCCTGAGTTCCCTTTGGGGCGATAAAAATAAATAAATAATTGCGTTTTTAAAAAAGTATTTTTTTAAATGGGGAGAGACAATAAAAAGTCACCTGTCACCCTCAAAATAAAAACCCTATGATTTTCTTTCAAATTGTTCATTCATTTTCCTGACCTCAAATGGCAGGGAGTGCTTTAGTTACTGATGCAACAAGAATGAATGAATTGTTTATTGTACTAGCCATAGGTCATGACATCCATAATATACTAACTTTATAAACACTTTCCAATATAAACCATAAAACGTAACAAGAGTTAAAACTGAAACAAGTTCATTAAAATTATGAAAGCAGAGACATGACAATACTGATGCAGCAAGTATTCATTGTAAAGCAGCAACACTGCAGGATAAAAATTATTTACTGATCAAATAATCTAAAAATTCCCATACTTGGCAGATTTGCTGCAAAGCACTCAAATAGTAGGAATATTCTCTTTATCTGTGTGTACATATGTTGAAAATTGGTGGTTGATGTATTCTGTTGTCAAAATGTTTCAGGCTGCAACTTCTACAAGTCTCCGGACAATATAGGTGTGTCAAATACATCTGAAGTGCATCTGCTTGGAGGAATAATTTAGGAAGCCACACCTCAAAGACTGACACCCCATTTCTTTCTTCTTTTTCCAGGAAGGTGAAAAAATAATCCAGGATTTCCTTACTAAAGTGAAAGCGATGTCCCTGGAAGACATGTCTGAAGCAGACATCCAGACCAAACTGAAAGAACTAAAAGATGAGGTTCTAGCAAGGAACAACAGCTTTGTAAACGAGATCCTTTCCCGAACAAAAGTTGTGTCATAATGTGAAAGAATTAAACAAGATGCTTCTTGAACTTGGGCTTTTCGGGGTCAGAGATACGTGTCACACTCAAAGAAGGGCTGTTGCCAAAAGCGGGCGTATGTGTCATCCGCCTTTTCCCCTCTGTAACATAAGGCAAGACACATGATGCGCCAATGTGATGTTGCAGATTTCTCCACCCACACGAGTGGCAGATAACAAAACAGACTCGAGCTCTGACGAAAACGTGAAACAACATTGCATCATGTGTTTTGCCTTTTTAGGGTGAATTGTTGTAGGGCTATTAGTTTTGGTGCTGGCCATGCGCTGTCTGTAGGTCTGGTTGCTACAGAAGCAGCAGCTGTTCTCCTATTTTGCCTTGTAATATTTTGCATCAGTCATGGAGATGACTCTTATTTCCATTTGACTTTCGACTTGTAGGTGTTTGTTTCATCTGCTGAAATGTTTTCTGCTTTGCCTTTGGAATGAATCATATTCTCCCTTTTGTTTTAAAAGACATGTTAATCTCTTAGAAACGAAAGAAATCATGGAGTTTTCCCACCTTTAGCTGGAACCTCTTGGTCCGTGGCAGCATATTCTGTGCTGTGATGGCTGTGTTTGACTTGACTGTTTATGAATAATGTTATTTTATGACTTCCGTAGACATTCTGAATATGGTCTGCAACAGAGATAGGAAATGTTTGGTTCTCCTCTCATTCTCTATCATTTGCTATGCTGGCCTGGACCGATGCAAGTTCCAGTCTAATAATCAGAATTGCAGAATGGTTCTTCTGACTTTTTGTCTGTATTACACACACAATCTTTAAACAAACGACTTGATGGAAAAAATAAAATAACATTATAATCACTATTTCAGGAAAAACTGAAATTATATCTCAGTATCTCTTTACAACGGTATTCCAAAGCATCTTCATGAAATCTGACATATATCACTTTTATTGTGTTAGCCAGCTCCTTCCAAGAAAAATTTAAAAAAAGCAAATGATAGTTTTCTGAGGGCAACTTGATTTGTCTCTTAGTATTTTGAGACTGATACCTTTGATTGTGTTGTTAACACATAACAGAAAAGTTATAATTTTCATATGAAGCAAACTGAAGGGAATAGCTTGCTGAACTTTGGTTATTGTGGAAACTCTATGTGGAATTGGGTATTTGAATATTTCTTGCCAAAACCATGGCTTAACTGGATGTTTTATGATCTGCTTTTTGAGAATCATACTTCCAGCACTTCATTTGAAATAGATATCCATGTAGTCTTCCATCATGGGGTAATATTGCTGAGTAGTTCTACATTGATGTTTGATTATGTTTTCATTAAAACTTGTAAAATATTTCATTAAAACTAAAGTTTCTCTTTTCATTCATTGCCATCTTCAACATGACCTTGGAAGAAAAAAAAGTTTGTTTGGGTTATCAGGGGGAATGCATGACACTTCCTTGCTCTGTTTATTTAGGAATCAGGGACCAACCTACAAGCATAGAACGTTTAGTTACAAAAGTGAGTAAACTATGGCATGGCATAACTCCATGATGAGCCCCCGGTGGTGCAGCGGGTTAAACCGCATATTTGGTTTTTTTTGGTCGTGTCAGGAGCAACTTGAGAAACTGCAAGTCGCTTCTGGTGTGAGAGAATTGGCCGTCTGCAAGGATGTTGCCCAGGGGACGCCTGGATGATTTGATGTTTTTATCATCCTTGTGGGAGGCTTCTCTCATGTCCCCGCATGAAGAGCTGGAGCTGACAGAGGGAGCTCATCCGCCTCTCCCCGGAGCTGCTGAACTTGCTGGCCAGAAGGTTGGTAGTTCGAATTGCTCCTGCTGTTAGCCACAGCTTTTGCCAATCTAGCAGTTTGAAAACATGCAAATGTGAGTAGATCAATAGGTACTGCTCCGGCAGGAAGGTAATGGCGCTCCATGCATTCATGCTGGCCACATGATGTTGGGAGTGTTTACGGACAACTCTGGCTCTTTGGCTTAGAAATGGAGAATGCCTGCCATAGGTGCAGGTGAAACTTCAGGCCATACAACCTGAAAAATCAACAACACAATTACTTCACCTTGCCCTATTATTGCAAAGTTTTATGATATGTGTGATACAGCATAACATTTAGTGGAGGCAGCAGCTTGTATATGTATTAGGTGGAACGATGATCTTATAAGAGAAGAAGTCAACTTCTGAGGATGCCTGCCAAAGATGTGGGTGAAATGTCAGGAGAAAATGCTTCTGGAGCATGGACATACAGCCCAGAAAACTCACAGCAACCCAGTGATTCCTGCCTTGAAAGCCTTCGACAACACAAACTAAACTGCCCATCACACTGTCTTTGTCACAGTGGATTCAGTAAATTCCAGTGGGCCCTGACATCCACTGAAGTTTGGTTCTGGCACCCCCCACCCAAGGAATACCAAAATCTGTGAATACTCAAATCCTATAGTACATAATGGCATAGTAAAATGGTATCTCTTATGTAAAATGGTGAGCCGCAGTGGCGCAATAAGTTAAACCCTTGTGCTGACTGAACTGCCAACAAGAAGGTCGGCAATTTGAATCTGCGATATGGGGTGAGTTCTCATCTGTCAGCTTCAGCTTCCCATGCGGGGTCATGAGAGAAGCCTCACACAAGATGGTAAAACATCCAGACGTCCCCTGGACAATGTCCTTGCAGATGGCCAATCCTCTCACATCAGAAGCAACTTGCAGTTTCTCAAGTCACTCCTGACACGAAAAAAAAAAAGGTAAAATGGCAAAATCAAGGTTTGTTCTTTGGAAATATTTTTTTCTAGAATATTTTAAGTCTTGGGTAGTGGAATCCATGGATATCAAATCCATGGATATGGAGGACTAGCTGTACTTGTGTCCTTTGCAAAATAGCGATTTATCTCTTCATCCACCTGCCAGACATTTTTATTAGCCATTCCAAGTTTTATTCTTGTTCTGAGAGTATAAGAACACTTTGTGTATGTTCTCTGGAGATGGGCAGCTGTCCCTGAATGGATTTGTTTTGGACTATAACTCTCATAATCCCTCACTGTTTGTCATGTTGGCTAGGAATTATAGCCCAAAACACTTGGAAAGCCATCATTGCTCATCCCTCCACTTCAGGTTATATCCCATAGTAAAGGTAAAGGTTTTCCCCTGACATTAAGTCCAGTTGTGTCCTATTCTGGGGGTGGTGCTCATCTCCATTTCTAAGCCGAAGAGCCAGCGTTGTCCGTAGACACCTCCAAGGTCATGTGGCCAGCATGACTGCATGGAGCACCGTTACCTTCCCGCCAGAGCGGTACCTATTGATCTACTCACATTTGCATGTTTTTGAACTGCTAGGTTGGCAGAAGCTGGGGCTGAGAGTGGAAGCTCATGCCACTCCCCGGATTCGAACCTGCGACCTTTCGGTCAACAAGTTTAGCAGTTCTTTAGGGCCAAATTCTGCTCTCATATGCATATGAGAGCTAAATATCAGTAGTGGTTCTTGTATCCCAAATTGTGCTTGTTTCTATTCATGAGTAAACCTCAGCAGATGTTGAATTTTTTGATGAACAACCCTTGATAGGATTTCAATCAGTTGTCTGTTGGATGTATTTCCATAGTACAATCCTTTATTCTACTACTAACCCATGTCTTTTCAACAGATTGAAGAGGCAGGGGCCTGCACAAACTGTACCGTCAGGCTTACTTACCAAATCAGAACGAAGATATTGGTATTTGCCTTCAATTAGACTTTGAAATCTGAGGTTAGTCCTCTCCCTTTTTCTTGAGCATATATGCACCAGCAAAGCAGCGGCAGCAGGAATGGAAAGATAATGAAAGCCTCCCAGCTTAAATGGTGCTGCTGCTGAGAGACCTTGAGTACCACTTAACAGCCAGCCCTTCCTACAGATGAGATTCTCTTTCTTTTCTCTTCTTATTCCCACTGATAGTCATCCTGAGAAGGGATTGAGTGCTTATGGCACATGCAATATTAGTAACATGTTCAGTGGGTTTTCAATTAAGGAGATGATGTTTGGTGGCAATGAAAGAACCCGTTTTCCAAAACAGCTCAAACAGGCTATTTTCAGACATACTGTCATTCTTTGAAATTATGCCTTCTGTTTCCATTCCGCGCAGGAAATTAGGATATGATATGGTAGAGCTGTGCATAATACGTGGGCAAAATACATTTTCAATATTTCATTTTTAAAAATAATCTGAAGAGTGCCCAGTCTTTATAATTGGGAATACCATGCTCGCATGTCTTTCCTCCTTTATTTTCACTAGATTAGTGCCAAGCTGGAAATGTCAAGTTATTGATGCTGCTTTCACTCATGTCAGCAGTTGGTCCCCATAGTCCAGTCATATCTTATTTTGTTCGTAGACAGTTTTTCAACATCTGTAGCAAGTGACTTTCCTGAATCTGCTACCTAATATGCCTTTTAACTGTGGATACCAGGAATTCAAAATATGCTAAGTTTAATGTATTGTTGAAGGTTTTCATGGCTGGAATCACTGATTGTTGTTGGTTTTTCGGGCTATATGGCCATGTTCTAGAAGCATTCTCACCTGACATTTCACCTGCATCTATGGCAAGCATCCTTTTGTTGTTGTTATGGCTGCTGCAACACACTTTTGTTTCATGTTACACCTATACTGTTCCAAACCGCAGGTTCTTTTTGTAAATATATTATTTTTGTGAGTATATCAAACCAAGTACCAAGCTCATTCTACTAGGGATATGCGGAAAATAAGGTTACAAGATTTCTTTAAAAAAATACAAAGAAAGAATATATTTTAACAAAAATTGCATAGATTATAGCATAGGTATTACATTATTTTTTCCACATAATCATGATTCAGCTCAATACATTTTATCTTCCGTGAGATGAGTTTTTTGATGCCTGTGTCATAGAAGTCTACCTCTGCCTTTTTCAGCCAGTTTGTCACTTCGATTTTCACCTTGTCGTCATCGGAAAAGTGTTTTCCACCCAGGTGTTCTTCAGTTTAATGAACAGATGATAGTCACTGGGTGCAAGATCGGGGCTGTGAAAGGTGCGGCTTAAAACATCCCAACCAAATGAAGTAAACAACTGTTGTGTTGCATGAACAGTTTGCAGATGCGCATTGTCATGAAGGAGGCAGGAGGGAAATGGAATGAGGACACTCATCTCTAACCTTCATCACAATGCCAGTTGATAAGCTACTGACGACTGGCAATGCTCGTTCACTTGCGCTGACTTCCTGCTATACGGCAGTGATACCAACTTCCCCTGCAAAAATTCCCCACGAGAGCTACATGCCTTGTAACCTTTCCAAATAACACTCATATTTTGTTTGCTTTGGCCAGCTCTTTCAAACTGTTATGGTCATTTTGAGTCTTGGTCATTTTCATAGGTTTTAGTTAACCTTACTAGTTTAGTGACCATGCCTTCTGTGCCATCATCCAAATCATTAACAAATGCACATTTGATTAAATTAATCAGTTGCCTCTATTTAGTTCATAAATATGATTAAATTCATCATGGAAACTTTACTAGCAAAACAAAATCCACTCATTTAAAACGAGAGGCTGGACTTGAATTCTACAGATGCTGTGAGCTGACAAAAAGGCAAATAAATGAGTCTAAGACCAACCAGAAGCCAAAGTGGGAACAAAGTGAGGTTATTGTCATTTGTCTATATTAAGAAGAGTACATGAGTTATTGGAGGACAATCATGCTTGGTAAATTGGAAAGTGTTAGAAAAAGAGAAAGACCACATTACAGGTAGATTGATTCAATCAAGGAAATTACAGCCCTGAGTTTGCAAGACCTGAACATACGTTGTTAATAATAGGGTGTCTTGGAGGTCTCTTGTTCACAGGGCTGCCATACATCACAGTAAATTACAATACTAACAACAGAAAGAGAAGCGCTCTGAGATTCTTAAGTGTTTAAAACAGGTTGAAAATTGGTTTGCATTTGTTGGGTAAATATCACATATTAGCGTTCAGCAGGCATTTCTACTAGGCTGGAGTACTAATAGAGTTGGAAAGTTCAGGAGAATTATGGGTGATCCAGAATAATGGCTTTGGGCTTTAAAAGATAAATAAAGCAAGCTTTGAATCAAAGGGAGAATTGTGTGTTTGCCATCAAAACTGGAATCAAAAGCATCAGTTTGAGGTGGCCAGAATGCTTGGCAGATGGACAGTATAGAAAATAGGAAGATTTCGAATCATAACAAACATGAGAAGAGATTATTTTTTTCTTGCAGCACATACTTCAGTCCAATTATAGTAGCTCTGGAGATCTTGTTACCATCTCTTGCAGTGTAATTGTTCTCCATGGCTGGATTATACAGGTTGACTGGTGCTGAAGGAAGACCAAAAGATGAATGCCCC